GGAATAATTTTTAAGCTTTACTAATCGCAATAATTAACTATAAACTATAATGCGCTTTAGTCTCGCCCCACCCCTTTGCTACCTGCGGAGGAAGGGTCTGGAGACACTCAAGGTAAAAGTGTGTGGAAAGAAGAACATGTGGTTGGCTCTACGTCATGTGACAGAGGAGACCAGATCCGTCAAAACAGCTTAAAAGATACTTTGCAGCTAAGAAAAGATGAGGATACAGTCTCTTGGAATCTCTTGCAGATTTGAGAGCAGCAACTCTTCACAGAGCGCCATAATATTTACTTTTTATTGATGACGTTTTATTGTAAACACGTGACAGTATTATTACGTCATAAATGCGATGGCGTCGTTGTAGTAAGCAGCACAGTAATGCTGCTCTTAAACTTTGAGAAAGAAGTCCAGGGAGCGTTACAGGCTCCTTCCTTCCTTTATTTGGTCCTCATTCTTCCTCTTTTGTCTTAAACAGAGCTCTTCGGTCACATGACTACTTGTCCTACATGTGGTTTGAGCAATCTGATTGGGACGTGGATTTCTCTGCATGAGCACACATTTTTACCTTGAGTGTCTCCAGACCCTTCCTCCGCAGGTAGCGAAGGGGCGTGGCGAGACTAAATGCGCTTATGTTGTCTGCCAATTTTTGTGTTAGCCAATTTTTAAAACGAGTATATATTGACTTTTGGGCTACAAGACATTTCCATGTGTATATTCTTTCATTCTGTACAGATAATAGCTTTATTGGCTTTATCATTGGTGGCTGGTTTTACTGCAACTAATAGGGCTGAGTGCAATCAGTGGAATGGAAACAAAGGTAAATTCTCATACAAAGTATGTGAAGTGAAGTAAAAAGCACGAGCTTCATATGAGCTGACAAGCTTTATGGCATATGGAGCAACTTTAAAAATTTATAAAAAATCCATTCTTGATCCGAATCAGCTCAAACTCTCTACACAACATAAGTACATGTATATGCATCAGAAAATGTCAAAAATGGAGAATTCTCTCCTTGTCAATTTTGGCGAAATTTGGCCCGAGACCATGATAGTACAGGGATTTATACCCAATTTTGGAGTAACTTTAAAAATTCGTAAAAAATCCAATCTTGATTGGAATCAGCTCAAACTTTGTACAAAACATAAGAACATGTATATGTATCAATAATACTATAAAAATGGAGAATTCTCAACTTTTTATTTTTTGTGAATTTGGCCCAAGACCATGTACAGGGACTTTAACTAGATTTTTGGACAGCTTTAAAAATTCATAAAAAATTCACATTATACTGTATGATAGTCTATTTTTCTTTCTGATCATTGCACAGTTTGCCAGATAACTGCCAAGGCCAGTTATCCCTATACAATAGTCGATGTTACTACACCTTGTGAGGCTAATGCAACATCTGAAGCTCTTAGTGGCGACTATAAGCAAGCAGCTGAGTTCTTTGTGGCCTGGGGCTCCCTGACTCTATTCTATGGGATCATTGCTATACTAGTATACATGTTTGCTACTGCTAACAGCAAGTGGGAGTGGGTTATCAACTACCTCATTTTGGTGGTGAGTTATCAACCATTTCTAACACACTGAGTGATTGTTTTTCAAAAATATAACTTTGGTTCTCAATTATTATTCCATGCTCTAGTACATGTACATATTGATCTCCTTATGCTACATTATCTGTGTAAATTAAAATTTAATCATTTACCATTACTTTCAAAATTTTATGTCTATGTGTTGTTATTGTTATTATTATTATTATTATTATTATTATTATTATTATTATTATCATCCTAGGATCTGGTATTTCATGTTGTTTGGGTTCTCTGTTAGTTTATCGCATCAGTCGAATGGGCTGTTGTTCAAAACGA